TCTCTGCTTATTCTTCCATTCTTCTTCTTACAATTTGCATCGCTAGTCTTTATCCTATTAAAGTTACTGTGATTGGTCGTAATGATTTGATACTGTCTTTGTCTTCCTTGCCCTTATAGAATAATCTCATCCTCCTCCCCCTCCTATAAGTATCTGGTCAATCCCCTGCCTTAGTTTCAATTAGCTTGTTTTGGCTAGAATGTTTATCAATCTCATTTGTATGCCATCTGGACCTGTCGCAATTCCAGCCGGAACCTTTCCTTCTGCTTTTTCCCGATTCCCCCAGTGGTCATTTTTTCTTCTTCATTATTATTCTCGTCTTGTGTTGTGTAGACGCTACCATTCCCTACGGCCTGATCTGGTTCTAACTCCAAAAATGCTGCTTCGATTGTATGTCTAATGTATTTTCTTGCCTCTTCCCACTCTACCTTTGTCCCTTCCTGTGTGGTTAGTGTCTGCTGGTACCCCTCAGTCTTTTTTCCCTGTCCACTAATGTGTTCCCAGAACCTTTTTTTTGCCGCATTCCTAACCTTCTGGTTTATCTCTAGGATCCATTAGGCCCCTGCCCTCCCAATTTTGGTTTGTATTAATGCTGATGTTTCCCGCTTTCTTTCCTGAAATTCCTCCCATTTTGATGCTACTTCGGCTAGTGTGGCCCCATTTTTCTTTGCCCATCTGTGTCTTTAGATCGTGAGCTCTACTACGGTGCCTGAAACGCGTCTCTGATTGGTGTGTCTAGTGACACATCTGCCCATATATTGAAAGTGGCCCCCGAAGTGGCAACAAATTACGTCACAAAAGACGGAGTGTTATGCTGTCGGATGTCGCGATCCTGGTGTTTGGTCATAAAAATGCTGGCAAAAAGCACGAGCGGACGCGAGAGTCGCTGTCGTCGCGGTGCCCCCTCCTCTTTTTTTTTTTTTCCGAAGAGCAAGGTGACAGTTTACAGAAGTTCCGGCTGCATGGCCGCCAAATCCTCCGTGTACTGTCAAATGTGAGAGCGACCTCCAGAAAACATGCGTTTGCCACATCTACTACCACTGCCGTGATACCGCCAGGATCGCGACCGGCGATAGCATGACAATTCTATGACGTCATCAGGCGGAAACCGAGGGACCACTCTTTTGTACGCGGTAAACACACCAGTCGGAGACGCGTTCCAGGTACCATGTAGTCATACTTAGTTCGGCTGCGTTCGCCTCCTCTTTGTGAAGCCAAGCAGAAGCATCGGGCTGTGGATCGAGCGGTTCGGGGTTTGATTCCCGCTGTGCCGCTCGGTTAATCTCGTTAGTTGTGATGAAGTCTGATTAATCGTGACCAAGTGTGCCTTCGGCATGCTTTGTATGCTTATGCATTGCGTGCTATGAACTATGTATCTTTAATATTGCTTTGGACTGCGTGCAACGATTACCTTTTTAGTTTGGAGGTAATGTTTTAAAGTAAAAATACAACCCTTCAACACAATTTGTATTAAAAAATATAAACAAGTCAAGTACAAGTTAGTGGTAACTGTGTCGCCCCTCTATCTTCGCGTGCATGCTGTACGTTCTTAAACTCGAGGAATATCATGGCTTGAACCAGTCATGAAAATCCTCGTCCTCATGTAGGTCATTGTAATGTCGCTGAGATGTTCCAAAAATATTTTTTACTGCATTTCTGTTGTTGTTGTTGTTGTCGTTGCTGTTACGCTTTATTGAGACAATGGTGGCTTGACGGCCTGGAAAGAAAGGTAAAAAAATGAATAAACTAAAAATGCACATTTCTTGGTTGTTACCAGCAGAGCGTGCAAACTCCCAAAGGAATAGTAGCGTCTGTTTTGCTCGGGCACCACACTCTGGGTCGATCCAGTCCTCATAAGCATGTGGGTTCTAGAAAACGAGTCTGCTCGCCATGGAGACCTACACACTCCCATAGCAGATGTCGGACTGCGGCGGAGCCACGTGCAGAGCACGTAGAACAGGTCACCGCTGGGTTGAACGTTTCACCCGACTGCATTGGTTCGCAGTTGGAACTTGTTTATTTTAGCCACCTACTGTTATTCCTTTCGCATTTGAGCTTTTATTTTGGTATTACTGTTGAAAACCCCATATCTTTGAAGCCCGAGGTTATATCTCACCAGAGATAACAGCATACCAGTCCTAACAATTCAGTCTTTGATGTGTCTTTGTTGACTTCCAAAGTTATTGCTTTTAAGTTTTGATTACTTTGTTTATCAAAACCTTAAAAAAGAAAAGAAAACTGCTTCTGAGAGTCTTTCGTAGTAAAATATGCAGACTTTCCTAAAACTTTTTTCTTATTTCCAACACATCATACTTAAACAAAATAATGAAAAAGGGCCATGATACCCGTCGCAGGCTATACTCCGTTTCATAATTAGTATACAACGCTGTCAAAGCTACTGGCACGAGTGCGTGGCTTCATCTACGGTTTTACTTGCGCGAGGACGCGTGCCAATTATCGGCCAGATCAAGACCCTGTTTCTTCTACTTTTGTTCGTTTCAAGATTGTCGCACCCAGTCTCAGGTGTTTTAACAAAATTGTAAGCTTTGACAGTGTTCTACACTAAGGATGAAACAGATAATAGAATAATTTTGTCAAGATCTGAAATGTTTGACCAATACCATCATCCCCCAGAGGATTTGTACTACGAAATCACCATTCCTTATTCTATTTGCGATGAAAAGCTGGCTATTGGCGCTTCTGTTTTCCTCACAATGGGTAGTGCACGTGCTATTCAATTGGTTATGTTTATTTTCATATTTTCACGTAATTGCGTCAGCAGAGGAAGTTGAACTATATTCATTCTTGGGTTGTGAAAAAATCCCACCGGGAGGGGATACCCAAACTTCTCGCCGCGAATGAGGAATGGTATCACCACGCATCGATCACCCACAGGAAGTAAAGATTCTACGGTGACACACTAATACCTATTTAGATCATTCATATCTCGTACATCTACTGGCTGGAATGATCTCCCCAAATCCATTGGCATAATTCTTAGTCCTGTTGATATTAAAAGTGCTGCAACTGGACTATTAGGACCTGTTTCGTGATTGTTTTGTTTTGTTTGACTTTTCGAAGATGGTCACTCCCCCCACCCCCCCCCCCCCCCCTTTTTTTTTTGTTTGTTATGCCTTCGGGCTTTGAGGACACAAATAAAATGAATAAAATAAAAGTGCACGTGAGTCACTAATAAACGTAATAACCAAAAACTCTAGACAGGTTCGATTTAAACTACAACGCACTGTATATCCGGACCTTTTTCATTGTCTACTTTTAGTGTGCTCTGCGACTCTTTTTTACAAAGAAAACATTTTTCTGAATTTAAGAAAACGTTTTCCGATATTTGGGAACTTTGACAAACCATTTATTCTCCATCAAAACAACCTGTATTATATTGAAAAAAATTTAAAAAAACAGCGAGAGGCGTTATGTTTAGCTACTAGGTTCCCGTGTTATTTAAATTTATTTTTGCATTGCAAGCTATTCATTGCAACGCCAAAGGTGAACCTCCTGTTTGTGGTATATTCTCTGGTATACTGTATTACCTTATTTGCGCTTAATACGTCGAACTATGAAGTGCGTCAAAGAACAGCAGGAGACGAGATGCCACGCGCTTGTAGGTTCATACCTCAACATATATCCGTAGGCGCTCATTTGAAACAGTATATAGTCACGTATTAAATTCAATAACTTTACTACTTTTCGGACAGCGCGTCCTCGATGATGCGGTTAAAAACTAAACTAATTATGATATAATGAAGCGGCCCTATAATGCGACGGTGAAATTAAATTAAAATTGGTAGGGCCTTACGGTAACTGTGTGAACATGACGCAACGGTGTGTTTATTTTTTTAGCAATGTTTGTGGTTACGGACAAGAAAACAAAAACGTGTTTAAAGCGACCTTCCTATCAATTTGGCTGCGTGGAAGGAGAAGCTTTGTACTAAAGTCAGGCTCCACATCTAAAGAAATCTTAACGTACAACTTGTTGCTCACTTTGATTATACCCTGCAACGATATACGTTTTTTTCTTGTTGTTGAATTGCATAAGAACGTTATTTTGCGTGTTTCCAATCGACAGTTCGCACTTGCCAAACGCTCATTTTCATTGAAAACAAAAGTGTTAGGAAGGCGTCTACAGTGTTCTGGATTTCGAAGGGTAAATAACAAAAGAATTCGTGCGGCGCATTCTTTACTTTCTTAAGTCTGCTCGCCTACACTGGAGAGAGACGATTAGAATCGTCAGACAAATTTTATATTTTATATTTCAAACGTATTTATGTGCACTAGGAAGAAATATTTCTAATTAACGCTGACCTACTTCCGTAACTATTGTTTAGCCACCAATCAAGTTTAGAAGGCATTGTCTTTCCCCGCAGATTGCGGCCGCGTTCCGTTCCCAGAAAATACATAAAAGACACCAAACAAACGCTCGTGGCGGAAGGCGCTTTCAACGAACCCTGTCATTCCGGGAAGTCCTGAAACGTGCCCTGTGGCGTTTTTGAAAGACCATTGTGAGCACCGACTGCCGCGCAACAAGGCGCGGGGGCCGACCGCTTGCTCCAGAGGCCTACAGAAGTGTCATTCCGAATTCAAAAGCGCTCGCCTCGTTATCCTTTTTTTTTCCTTCTTTTACCGTTTTATTCTACGCGCAGATCGTGGCGTCAAAAACGACCCAACGCCGAATCTCCCACGCTTGGCGCAATAACAGTAATCAGCGCGCCGCGCCAACAGCCCACAACAAACCGCGAGCAGCAGCAGCGAGCATTCCGCGGGGAACCAACAAAGAGGAGCTACCTGTTTGACGGGTACAGCAGGTAAGCCTCTCGAAGCCGCTCCCTCTGTCCCGCGCAGCCACCCTCGTCCCAGCAGAAAGCGGCAGCACGGACGCCCTGAATGGATCTGGCGTCCAGAGATGGCGCTGTGCCGAGCTCGACATCGCGAGATCGTCGGCACCAGCCCGCCGGCAAAGGAGGCGGTGCCGTCGGTGTCGCCGGAGCAGCCAAGGAGCGGTCGAGGTCCTCCGCGGACCAGTTCTCGCACGTTGATTGCACCTGGTAGGAACCGAGAGGTCCTCCAATGCCGCCATGAGCAAGACGTTCCACCGCAGGTCGACCGCTGCTTGCGGCCTGGTCGTCCTCATGCTGCTTCTGAGCAGCGTGGGACTCCTCATTGCATTCCTAAAGGGGCACCAGCAGCAGACGCAGGCTAGGGAGGACGTCGAGCGAAAAGGGACGCCCCCGCGCACCCGCGTCAAGGACCCTCCGTTCACGCGACGCACGACCATGACGCCGCTCTCGACGACGACCACGGAGGGCCCGCTGGAGACCACGACGACGACGACGCGGGCGCCGTCCAAGCCCAAGTCCGACTTTAGGCTGCCGTCGTACGTGTTGCCGTTGTCGTACGACCTGACGCTGGAGCCGCGTCTGGAGGCGGACACCTTCGAGGGCGAAGTTTGGATAACGGTGAACGCGACCATTCCAGTAGACCGCTTCGTCGTGCACGTCTTTCGGCTGACCGTCGACGAGACCGAGGTGTTCTCGGCGGACGGGATGCCGTTGGTCACCAGTGCCCCGGTGGCCGACGACCTCAATGAGTTCTTCGTGGTGCCCGTGGCATCCGGGGCAGGGCCCGTGGCTGCTGGAGTCTATAAGCTGCGCTTCAAGTTCAGGGGTTCCCTGGTCGGCGGCATCGTGGGGTTCTACAAGAGCCGTTACAAGATCGGCAACGAAACGAGGTATGTCCTGCATGCGGACTGCCTTGATCGGGAGCCGGTTGTGTTTGCGTTCGGAGTTAATGACAGCCTTTGCTGACGCGCTGCTCCGCTGTCTGGGATCTTAATCGGAGAACGAGTTTGATGTTTACGTTCGAATCGCCCGCGTGAATGACAATTGGGTTCCGGTTGCCTTGCCGACGCTCGGAGGGATGGCGGCAATTACGGAAGAGAATGAAGTCAAACTTTTTTCTCTTGTTTCTATCGTTTTCATTTTGTAACTTTGTGAAGGACAGCTGACAAAAACGTCACTGTGTTATGCAATAGATATGCATTTTGATTGATCCAAATTCGTACCCCCTCTTTTCACGATAATTGCTGATCCTTGAGCAATGTCTATACAACCGAGAATACATATGGAGAGCCCATATGCGAAGATGGCAATTTGTTATATGTATATAAATATTTTTTTTTTCGCTGGCTAGTTCCGTTTATTTTAGTAATGTTTTGCATAGGGTTTCGCGAAATACAGTTGAAACTGCTTCACGAGTTACACTCTTCGTTCGCTTACAGTTTTGTTGGCGGCTAGAGTGTTTATCTTCATACTAGTCTCGGGGGAAAAAAAGTGTCCTCGTTTCTACGTCTTTTCGACGTTTTTCCTTTCTTTTTGTATTATTGTTTTTTTTTTTTTTCTGGAAGAAGCAGCAGGGTGCATATTAAACAAGATGACGCCAGAAAAAGACGTCGCTTATGCTATTTGCGTTTTCTCTTTTTTTTTTTAGAGCTACTTATGCCAAATTAAAGTTTAGTTCTTGCTACTTCAGTTGTAAACCACTGGTAGTACTGTGTACACATTGGTATTTTACACCACTGTCCAGTGGCGAAAAAGGAAAGTTTAATATTTTTTTTATTATTATCATGCCTGAACATCAGTAGCCCATGTCGACATCAGTGTCTAACAATTGTATAAATTGTTATCAAGAATTGGTGACACTTGAAATAGGTTAAGCGATTTCTATTACAGTCCTTGACTACTCTTTGAAGACCGGATACCTTTCCTGCAGAATTTATTGAAGACTTCTAACTAGCGCTGGGCAATTGATCGATTAACGTACCGAATAATCAATTATTGCTTTAATCACGATTAATTGTTTTAAGCAGTTAATCGGTAAAGTTTTGACGAACCAAAATAAAATAAAAATTTGGCGGTTTCACCATGCAGATGTGGACGAGAACACCTGTATGACGAATAAACTTTAGGTGAAATTTTAACCTAAAGTAGATTGTAGGGGCAGGATTTTTAACTCCAGGCAAGTGCAGAAGGTTACCTGGATCCCGGCCAATTCAACGCCATGAGTGTGCGAACGCCGCAGATTATTGTGAATAAGCAAAAGAGATCACTCTTGCCGAAGAATATCAACGAACTGTTTGGCCTCTTGCAGCTGAAGTTTGAGTGTCTGCAGCATCTGTGTGAGTGTCTTAAAAATAAAAATAAATAGCTTAAGTTTATTATTGTTTTTTGTTAGGGAGTTGTTGGTTAAAACAAACGTCGATAAAACTATTGTTGGCATTTAGGAGAACGTCAAAAGGTTTTACATCCACCTAAATTTCAACAATAGTTTTTTCGCCGTTTCTTTTGACCAAAAAGGGCATTACAATCACTATTAGTAAACCGGAGCTATACAAAAAACGAGGAAGTAGCCATGATAAAAGATTACGATATTCACAAACAGGCGTATGTAGAAAAGTTAATGGCTACGCTTGAAGAAATTGGCACAGCGACGTGCACAGGTCGAGAAAAAATGTAAATATGATTGGCGCTATCTTTTCTCCAGTCAACGTGAAGGTTACTCAGAGATAAGTAGCTCCATATAATTCTTGTCTAATTTGTATACACTGTAATTATGTCGAAGCTATTATAATGCAAACTTTCTTTGGTGGAAAAGAGAAGGATATTTTTCGACCATGACAAAGCCCCCGGGACTGCGGGTAAAAACGGCACTACACTAGTTTTTTTCGCATTCCCGGGTAATATTTGTCAACTTGCTTGCGCGCTTACATTCAATACTATCGAGTTATCAGCGGGAATATTTGTTTTGAGTATCAAAGGTAGGTTTTCTCAGGATGCAGTCATTTTTTTCAACGGCAAAATAATTCTCGAGGTTGTCTGCCCCTCTGTACAGCAATATAGCAAAATCTCGGCTCACATAAGAACTCTTCCATTTGACAATTTGAAGTAAGAAAAATAAACTGGACCCACAAGTACATGTCTTCCAGGTCTAACGTTTAAAACATTACGGAAATAATTACGTTGGTTTTCGTTCATCAAATGTCAAGTACAAAGCTTTAAAAGATCATCTTAAAATAAACTTAAAAAATCACATTACAGACCTCAATGTTTCATGTGTTCCTGCGAAAAATTCAGAGTTGTAATTTTCTTCAATCATTTTTGCGGATCGTAGTGTAGTGCCAAAGGCAACAAACTACAGCCCTCATGAGCATTATAATAAGCAGCAAATGAGAAATCAAAGCACGCGCCAACTATTTATTTTGCACGATCCTAACACTAACTGTAGTATTATCCAGACCAGGGGTTTCAGATTTATAAAATAGAGGACAATAGCCCAACCCCAAAGGTCGAGGGCCAAAAACGTAAAGCGGGATTTTGCCACTGACGTCCTTAGCTTTGAAATGGTCATAGGACTACCTTAGAACCTGACCTGACGTGATAACAAGAATTAAGATGGTTCTGCCAGCCAAGTTAGATAGAACCAGAGAGCAAACGTACACTTTTTTTTCGTTCCCGTTCATGAAATCACTCGGGAATTAACCGCCGTCAACATGTCGAAAAAGAAATCTGTTCACACGACAGCTTTCGCTTTCCCGGTGATTTTTATAACAGATGTACGAAAAAATACTTATATTTTTATTATGATTGTCTCTTAGGCCGAGAATCCCGAGTTTACAGCTTTTTCTTTGGCGGCTGCTCCTGCTGAGCTATAGGGTTCGCTCAGCCGAGATGCGTCCTTCAGCAAAGAACACGCGCTTGCAGCCTGCTAGTGGAGTTGTCGTACAAGTGATTAAAATAAAAAAAAAAAAAAAAAAAAAAAAAAACCTGGCGAGCAAAAATTAAGGCGAAGAACAAGGTAAATAAACACGAAATAGTGTAAACTACATGGACACATGATGAGCAGAGCTACGTTTCGAGTGGAAATGCTAGTTCTAGCGCTCGAGATATGGGAAGGGGAGCTCGCTGCTGCTTGCCTGCAAACCACGTCCCAGTGAGTCGCGGGCCGTGTGTTTGAAACGCCTGATCTAAACCGTAAAAAAAAGTACACATGAAAGTGTTTAAAGGGGCGATGCAACGATTTTTGTATTTTGCGGAAATACCGCTTAGAACGGATCCCTGACGTCAATGACCTGTGAAATAACCGTTCGTTTTTCACCACACGCAATCGAAGTCGCAGAAAAAAATAAAGAAAACGAGCAGAGTTCACCTCCTCAATTCGCAGCCAGAACAAGCGGCCACGTGATCTGGAGCCGATTATATGCCGCCAATGTTGATCATAGCCATGCGCTGGGGTTGGCAAGGCACAGGACACGCGCTGCGTTTCAGACATTGTTATGGTTCCGCTGTTGTCGTCATTGCAGCGATTGGACACAGGACACTACCGGAATGCTTCTCGAGCTAGTAATTATCACGAGCCCAAATCGAGTGCCCCCGCAATGCTCGGATCCAATCTATGAGCCGCATTCAAATCTCGTCACTGGGCGGTACTGCCAACGTTACTAGATTACCTCAGTTGAGGAATTCAAGCGGAAGGGGGTACCCCCCCCCCCCCCCCCCCCTCACTCACTTCAATCCGCCAAGTATCATTTGAAGCGCCATCTAGATTTTCGTTTCATAACTTTGCGTTCCAAAGAGCAGAGATGAAGTGCCATCTAGACGCCGTGCTTAGAAACGTACGTAACGATCCCAGCGATCCCGACCCGATTTTACCGTGCCCGATTCCCATAGAATACGCTGTAGTTACCACAGCAGCCGTCCGGCGGCGCGTGGAGCGACGCTTGGCGAGTCGTGGTGAGTGAGGGGGGGGGGGGGGGGGGGGGGTACTGTTCGTGCATGCAGCGTCTATGAGCAGTTCCGTAACTGAGCTAATCTAATAACGTTGGGTACTGCTACCGCCCAGCTACGTCATCAGGTTTGGCGAAGGAGAGATTGAATGAAAACGCTCGGATTTGTCCTCGAAATTACAGCGCAACAAAGGAGTTTCTTGGTCAGTGGCGTTGCGTGCGAGTATCCTTGAGTCCCACTAGTGCCAGTAATTCGTGTAAAGTGAAAAACAGTCCAATTGAATATTGTTGCACCACCCCTTTAATCGCGAAGCATAGAAAAAAAAGAAGAAATAAATCGGTTTTATGAGCGGAAAGTCCGAAAATAAAACATTTTCGGATTTCCCGCTCAGCACTGCGTAGCGGAGAGCGGGGAGGAATGGGACGGTAGGAGGAGTGGGACAGTCAACCTACTTCTTCAGTGCATAGTTCCAAAAAGATGGTGAGCTGATAGATTGATGACGCCGTGGTAGCAATACTTTCAACTCTAATGGCATACCTGTTTAACGTAGTGTACACGATTGGAATCAGTGTTTGCCACTTCGACACTCAAAAGCGAGTAGCAGATATTCATTTTGCTTGATTCTTGAACCTAAACGGTTTGGCCAACGACTGTAGTAAAGTAACATTGAAAATATGTGTTAATCGGCTGTTTGCATCCACCGCTATTTAAAGCTTAACATTTCACCTGTTGCCACAATTGGCAACTTACCGTGTTCAATGCAGTTTGGGAGAAACGGTACACTGATAAGGATTGGTGCTCTGAATTAGTTTATATTGAATTTAGGCCACTAATTTTTTGTTTTGTGTCAATTGTTACCGTACTCTTACTCCTTGGTTCAAAACCACAGACAATCGGAAGAAAAAAGACGACTGCTATCGGTCTTCATGTCTGATGAAGACCAGTCTGC